AATCCCATGATCGTGTAACACAGATACTAAAGTATCAAAAGTCTCTTCGCTATATCGATCGAAGTCGAACACGTTCCGCACCACATTAGCCAACGATTCTTCAGGGAATTTCTGAAAAGGTAAATAAAAAAAAAAAAAATCCATCGATAAATGAAACATTAGAGAGATGAAATAAAACATTAACGTATAAAGACTCACCTCTAAATGCTTTACAATGTTAACAACTTCGCGAGTCGAATATGGATACGAGACCAATCCTTGATCGGCCATGCTTCGTAATTTTCCAAAAGCTTTCACCAGTTTAAATATCACTTTTTCGTCTACGTTCGGACCGTACTGTTTCAAAAGTTGAATTTCATTTTCAACGCTTGGATTATCGACTGTATGTGTACTGAACAAATCGCCCAATGCACCGAAGAAATCATTTCCTAAGAATGGAAAGCCCGGTCTGTTTGCTAACACTATCATCCTGAAATCTGGATGAAGCAATATTTTATTCGAATTTCTTTCGCCGGGATTTAGAGTGGATACTATACGTCTTCCATCCGATAATATCATTTCACCAGATTCGACTAAAGTCTGAAACCAGAAAGACCGTGCAAAATGGGCGTTAAATATTAATCTTAACCCTTGGAGAAGATTTATGGCATTAAACTTCCGAATTCCCACTTCAAGCAAAGTTTCATAATTGATGATGGATATTTAATTTAGCCGTTAAATGCGAAAACGGTGAAAAGTTTTCTTATTCTTCTTAGTCTTCAAAGCATTAAAGTTTAGAAATATTTAATTCATTTAGATCAAATCACTCTTAAATCGCAAAGCGGATTTTATTAGTTTCACAGGCCTCTTTAAGTGAGCCGCCAATTTCTACGCTAACGCACACTTGTATAAACTTAGTTTGCACGTACATACCTTCAAAATACAGGTGACATGGGTTGGAGCTTTGTCCGCCTCATCAACGACAAGCACGTGCCCCAATTTAACAGCCTGTACAAGCGGCGAGTCTTCGTACACCACTTTTCCATCCCTAACCATTGGCTGAAGAGTCAAAGTTTGAACAGTAGTGTCCCTGTGTAGCTGTATATATTCACGCGGCCTATTTAAAAGTTGCAACAATCGATCGACAATTTTATTTTTCCCAACACCCTGATTCCCAACTAGCAACAGATTCTGTCCCAAACTGAAGTCTTGCAACAGATTCTCCAACAATGCGACGTGCTGCGGCACGTCGTAAAACAAAACGTCAGGTACTTTCGTCAATGCTGTCGTGCTGTACCGTTCGATGACCGTGTCGCCAATTTGCACGGTGTTTCCATTAATTTGACACTTGACGCTCTCGTTCGGCGTGCTTCTCGTTGGAACGATGCTCAGATTATTGCAACAATCGTCCAATGCTTGTTTCGCTATCGCTGGTAAAAAACGAGCCAGACAGGCGCGCCGCACCGCGTCGTAAGCATCGCCAGTTTGAAATTTGTGCATCCTCTCTGCTATCCTCAGAAGCTGCCTCGTACTGAGGAAGCTGGCCAAAGATTGTAAAGTTGGATCGCTGGAGGATCGCAGTACGTGCGCCAATTCCAGGATGTTTAATAACGCCGTGGAAGGCTCGCCATACTTGAACAAGGTAAAACATCGCTTAGTATACACAGAGGCATCTCTGTCTGATGTTAACCCATTTGCATCCAAACGCGGAATAATCCGCGAGCCGCGACTGCTTACTACATACGATCGACAGCGCGCGGTGATACGAGTCAGTCCTCAGTTGAACGTCGCTGATGTTTCAACGCGGCAGCTTAAGTAGAGCGATGATGCAAATGGGTTAAAAGGACGAGAATGAGAAAGTAAACACCTTCGATCGAACGATATGAAGCTCCTCCGATTTGGTGAGCGGCCTCATTTCGTGGAAAAGGAACAAGCTGAGCAACTCTGAATTCAACCACTGCCTCGAAGACGTGTTGAGGGCCGGTGATTCAGCTAAGGCTATAATTCGAAACGATGGATGAATGCGCAGTACACCCGATTCTTGCAGTTCTGCGTCGGATTTATTGTGCTTCTCCTTTATCTCGTCGTAACGATCCGCCCTGACGAGTCTTTTGCCATCGTGCAACTGTAACTCTCGATCGTGAACCAATCTAAAACCGAACAAACCCGATAAAAAAAGAGTGTCGCTCGATTCGATTCGACTTTCGAAACTTCAGAATGCCCGAGAACAATGCACCTGTGTAAAATGGCCAGAGTACTGGGATCGATTCTATTAATTCCATCCAATACAGCCAATTTTCCATGCAGAGCTGCGTCAACCAGCGGCGAATTTTTCCAAACCGTATCGCCATTGGACAATGTTGTGCGCTGTTGTATCAAGTCTCTAGACGTCATGTCCTAAGAAAGTAATGCCACTGTTTCAAATAGAACTGTTATTTCAATCGACGACTTTATTTATTCGAATTCATTCAGAGCGACTTGCCTGGTACAATACTACAGGTTCGACTTCGTATCCCAGTAAATTGGCTAACGTTTGTACAGTAATCGATTTCCCACATCCTTTTGGGCCGATCAAACAAATGTCAGAGACAAGGTGCGACTCCAACAAATTTGCCAATAAATTATTCTGATAACTCGTTTCTACATATTTATTAACTTGCGATCGTTCGTTTGTCTCTTTGGTGCCACAGGAAACCTGGCGCGTAAAATATATGTACGCTTGAAATATGATTTCCAAATTTATCAATTTTTTGTTTCCTTTTCAAGAGGTCTACTCACATTTAATCCAACTTCTCCAGTTGGATGCTTTATACTGACATCCACTGAATTCTCTTCCTCATTTTTCTTACCCACGTTTGAAATTACAGCGTCGTTCGTCGTTGGTTCCGGTATATTGAAAGTTTCGAGGATACTCACGACGGCCGATTGGCCCTCTTTCGCCAGAAACAATTTATACGGATAACATCTATAAAATATATCGTACACCGGCAGGTATGGACACTCATCCTACGATCACAGACAGCGATTAGAACAGGATTCGAGATGGAGAAGAATTTCGAATGAAGAAACATTTACCATTATAGTAACGATCGATGTCAAATTATCCAGCGGGAAATCCGGAAGACCTAGGGACACAGCTTCTTGCGTGACGAAAGCGTGCGAGCATGATAACAGCTGCTTTAATTTCGCAGTGTCGCCGTGCGTAACT